CATGTGCTGAAATCGAGAACCCCAAGGCAAAATTAAAATTTTTGGTAAATGTTTAGATGTGACGACCTACAAGGAATGTAGCACTATTAATCATAACTGATATATTACAGGCAAGAACACAACGTACCTTTGCTCTCTCTCTCTCTCTCTCTCTCTCTCTCTCTCTCTCTCTCTCTCTCTCTCTCTCTCTCTCTCTTCCCTCCCCCCCCCAAATGATCAAAATTGACAATAGTATCACCTGTGAAATCGAACAATCTCAAAATCTTAAGAAAATTAGACAATTATTATTTAAGGAAACAAGGTACGTACTACTTTGAGTTATAACTCATGTATCAAGGGCAAAACGTTACGTACATTTTTTTTTTTTTTTTTTCTCTCTCTCTCTCTCTCTCTCCCTCTCTCTCTCTCTCTCTCTCTCTCTTTCTCTCGCTTTTTTATTCCCTAAATGATCAAAAGTGATAATAAATCCACTAAAGTCGTACAACCACAAAATCCAAAAAAAAAAGGAAAAAATTATTATGTAGAAAAACAAGGTATGTAGTACTTTGAGTCATAATTGATGTATTATACGCAAAAATACTACACACCTTTGCTCTCTCTCTCTCTCTCTCTCTCTCTCTCTCTCTCTCTCTTTTTTTGTGCTCCTATCATTCCTTAAATGATAAAAAGAAGTGACAAGTTGGCAACAACATCCACTGAAATTCAAGAACCACAAAATCTTGAAAAGAAAGGAAAAAATATTATGTAGAAAGACAAGATACATAGTACTTTCAGTCAAATTAATGTATTATGCACAAAAACACTACGTACCTTTGCTCTCTCTCTCTCTCTCACACACACACACACACAAACGCACACACACATACACACACACACACACAAACACACACACACACCCACCCACCCACACACACACACACACACATACACACACACACACACACAAACACACACACATGCACTCGCACACAACCACACTAGCCTGTAAGAGTCCAATATTGTAAAATGATGAGCATGTAATATTTTGGGGGAAAAAAAGTACAACAACCAGTGTTATGTACCTAGGGCGAGGGTGAGAAGGGTGACGAGGGGAAGGGGTGGGTTTTAATAGAGGGAGTTGAGAATGACGTACGAAACAAAGCGAGTGTTATGTAATGAATAAATATAATTTTTTTTTTATAGTTCTATTTTTGTTTACAAACATAAAATACACAGATGGTTTGCAGCGAATATTCGATTCTTAACAGATGATCAACACATTACAAACATATTCTCAACATATAACCAACAAAAATTTGTCATATATATATGTGTCAATGTTGACTTCCATCAGAGGTCCTACGATCACATAAGAATCCCTATAAAAACAGATGAAAAAATAAAACAAACACCTGATATACATAAACCCCTATGATWAATTTAGTAATTTCCAGGCTGCATTTTTTCTGTTGTCGAGCCCGCTCCGCCAAGATTAGACGAAACGTACCAGGTCTAAGTGGACCACTCGCGCTCTACGCAAGTGCCTCCTCTTGTCTGTCTGCCGTCTGGTTTTCTTAGGAACTCGGGGGCTGAGAGGGTGCTTCTTCCCTCTCTCATGTCGCCGTCGTTTGGGCTTTGATACAAAAACATTCCTTCACTTTCTCCTCCTTCGGGAAGGTCGTGCGTCAACTGCGCCACCCTTCCTAATGTGGACCCTGCACTTAGGTCTTTGTAGAACAAAGACCCATTTCTTTCTCTTGCCCAGGGCTAAGCCTTTCACTTTCTTTGTCTCCACCCTCTTCCTCTTCTTTGAACTTTCACCTACATCGAACCGTCTTGACGGTCCTCCGTCCGTTATCTTAGCTTTACCATTTCCTTTAGGATCTGATGGTCTCGGAGCAGGAGTAGGAGTTTCCCTTGACCTAAACAACTTCAGTCTAGCTCCCGCCACAAGATCCTTCCACTTTGACCCATCTAGCTCAGCAATCATACAGGCTCCCCAGCTTAACGCACCAAGTACACGGTAGGGCCCCATCCATCGATTAGCCAGTTTCCCAGTCCATGTCCTTTCCAAAGCGGCGTCGTAGAGGAGTACCACGTCGCCAACCTTGATCTTTTCCTTTTTGATTATGACGTCTTTGTCCCATCTTACTTTGTTTTTTTCTCTTTGTACTGCTCGTCGATCGGCCACGGTCATAAGATTGTCTTCAAGTCCGTAAGCTATCTGCCTAGTCCGTGTTGCCAGTAATTCCTCTCGTGTCATGTTCTCTGCCCAGTTAACCGTGGTCCAACTGTCAACTTGAAACTCTATGGGCAGGGGACAGTGCCTTCCAAACCATAGAGTGTAAGGAGGGTAGCCCGTACTAGCTCGGACCGTGACATTGTCCGCCCATATCGCGTACCTGAAATACTTCGGCCAGTCGCCATCCTTCCCTCTACACCACTTGGATAAGGAGGCAATCAATGACTGGTGGCCTCGCTCTACAGGTGCATTGGACTGAGGATGATAGACAGTAGCAATAGATACTCTAGCTCCTGCTCTCTTGAATACGTTTTGTACCTCGTCTGCTAGGAACTCTGCTCCTCTATCCATCACAATCTTACTGACACATCCGTATCTAGATAGATACTCCAGGACAAAGTTCTTAACTTCCCTTGCTGTCTTTGTTCTGATAGGCTTACCATCGACGAAGCCAGTGAAATCATCCCTGATGTTCACTACATAGTTCATGTTCCCTACACCCTTCGGCATTTTCACCAGATCAATATGCACCTTCTCTCCTGGTCTAGTGGGATATGAAGGATGAAGTGGCTCCTTATATCTGATAAGAGATCTCTTCTGGCAGTCCTCACAAGTTTCGCAGTACTTTTCAACGTCCTTGTACTGTCCTTCCCACCAATATAGTTTGCGAACCTTCTCGTATGTTCCTTTTACTCCTCTATGTCCTCCGACTACCCCGTCATGTAGTTCCGCCACTATGGACTGTTTCTCCTCTGGATCACAGACCACCCGTAGAGGCATCCATGCCCCCACCGGTCGGCGAAACAAATGCCCAGCTCTAAGGCAGTATTGCGCCGCCTGTCTCCGGATGTCCGAATCAGTGTTTTCTTCTCCTGACAGATGCAGTCCGATAGTGCGATACTTACCTTCATAAAGATTGACTAGGAAGCGATCCGTTCGTTTAGGCTCAGCCATAGTCAGCGCAGCAACTGATATTGGTCGCTCTGCCTCGATGGGAACTCGCGAGAGTCCGTCGGCTACAGCGTTCTTTGCCCCTGAGATCCTTTCCACAGTGTCATCATAAAGTCGAATCCTAATCAGCCATCGCGTGATCGTTGGATCTGTCAGACTGAAGTCCTTCTGTAGGACTGACGCTACAGCGGTAGGATCTACCCTAAGAACGAATCGTCTACCGTATATGTAATGTCTAAGGGTATCTAAGCACCGTAGAACAGCCAACACTTCCTTCTTAAACTGACTGTACTTACGCTCTGCAATATTGAGTGTTCGACTCTCGAACCTCAATGGCCTTTCCTTGCCATCAACATCCTTTTGAAAAAGTAATCCTCCTACCGAACGTGGCCCGACATCAGTAGACACTATAAATGGTCTATTGGTTTCATCCTCAAAGAATGGCACACCTAGAATTCGACCGCCTTTTTTAAATTCTTCCTTGAGAGATTGCACTGCTAGCTCTTGAGAACAATCCCAGTAGAACTTCTCAGTCTTCCTAAGAAGTGTGCGCAGGGGTTCCGCCTTTTCCGCATACCCTCGTATAAAAATCCGCCAATAACCTACAACCCCTAAAAACTGACGAACTTCAGTTGCACTGTGCAAAGGAGTCGGCCAGTTCAACAATTTTTCTAACTTCCCAGGGTCGGGGCGTCGGCCTTTCGCATCGCATATAAACGCTAGAATTTTAATCATCGATACAGCCCATCGACTCTTTGTCCTGCTAACCGTCAGGTTAGCTTGATCTAGCTGTTCCAAAATGACGTAAATGTCCGTCAGGTATTGCTCTACGAACCTCCTGACGCCAAGAGCGGCTTCCGTCTCGTCTTTCAACACCGGTCCTTTTATCGGAAAGTCGTCCAGGAAAACTTCTACTTTATCTGGGATAAAGTCTTTCAGAACCGCTACCATGACTCTCTGAAAGACCGCTACCCCATTGGTCCATCCCATCGGAACGACCATCATTTGCACTAATCCGAGCGGCGTGTACATGGCTGTGAGATGCCTATCTCTCAGATCTAGTGGTATCTCGTTATATCCTGAAAATAAATCCCAGACAGAATAAATGGATCTGCATGTCGCTCCCTCTGCTAGTAGATCAACGTGGGGTACGGAGCCAACATCTCGAATTGTTACCGCATTGACCTTCTGAAGGTCTTGAATCCAACGAATCTTTCCGTTAGGCTTCCTTAAGAAGAACCATCTATTTGCGTACGCGCTATCACATGGTTCAGCTACGTGAGATGCCATCTTCTCTTTGAGAAAGGAGATCACCTCTTCCTTCTCTTTCTAAGCAAACTTCCACCCTGCGTCATTCCACGGCGTATGCGGAATCGTGTAGATTCTTGCTGGCTTAGCATATCTAGGATCAATCCTTCCTCTCTCCACATCACTGAATGCTATAGCTTTATCGCAAGACTTAAGGATTTCCAACACTCGGTCTTTTTCCGGCTCAGTTAGATTCCCATTGCCTATGTCCATCTCTACTATCCTCTTTTCTGTTAGCCGTTGCGGCCCCTTCCTCTTCCTTTCCTTAATCTCTCTAGCGATCTCTTCTTCAGATACTCCATCCAATGCAGATCACTCTCGTGCTACAGCCGCCGGCTTAACCTTTTGAGCTACTGTCTTGTGTCTCTTTGGTCGCCCCCCGTAGGGGGCTGTGCCCTTAAAAAAGACACAGATATCATCCCTCTGAATTTTTCATCTTCTGCCTTAGGATATGCGTTCCTTCCTACACGTACCCGAGTCCCTAAATCCTCGACTTCGACTATCTGACCTTCTTCCTCTGTAAGCAGAGGTCCATACTTCTTTTCACGAAAGCTTAGGGATCGACTCGCAAGGGGAACTGGTACTCGGCCCCCTACAGCGAGAACCGCTCTATTCCTCGGATCCCGAGGCTCTACCGTCTCCATCATGATCCGCCCACCGTCTGGACGCTTGATGGAAAGCATCTGGCTTCCATCTGGCCGTTCTATAGTAATAGCATGGACGTGACTTAGCCATGTCCATCCCAATAATAACTCTGCGCTGCAATCCCGAACTGCGAAAACGGGCATCATCACTCTCAGTCCTTCGACCTCGATTGCCGCCTTGTGACAAACTCCAACGACCTTCTGCTTCCTCCCATCAGCGGTCTCTATCTCAAATTGGTACGACCCGTCCAGGTCTAATCCCAATCGGACCGCTAGGGCCTCGTCTATAATGACAGTCTCGCTGCCGTTATCGATTACGGCATGAAGGACCACCTTGTCGTTGAGGGTAGTCTGTACTGTCCCGCTGCCTAGGACATAAAACTTGTCAGGAGGCACTCCCCCCATCCCATCTAAGAACACCATCGCAGCACGATCCGCCTTAGCGACCACACTTGATACTGCAACAGCGGGTATCTCCTCCTGTTTGGTCGCCATTTGGACCTCGTCGCTAAGGGGAATACGTGCCTTTCGCGTAATCATCTGCAATTCATCCTGTGCTGGCCTTGAGGCCGCTAAGTACTCTAGGATCGTGCACTGCATAGGCTGCCTAAGAGCGCGTCTAAGAGGTTCGACCGTGTCTATGTCATCCAGAGTACTCTTCATCGTGAATTTTCTCGCCCCACGTTTGCGCGGGGAAAGTATGACTTCTTCTCCTTCAATCCTCTGTCCATCTTTCTCTGCCATTACGTAATCAGTGTCAGCCTTCTTAGAGGACGAGGCCCTGGCAGACTTAGTTGTTGCCACCCGTATGGGCGTTATAGGACTCTCCTCATCAGAAGACAGACTCAGTCTCACGCTTTGAGCTCTTGCAACCCCTTTACCCTTGTTTGGTACTAGTCGCCTAGCTTCCACGTTCTCCTTCATTGAAGGAAACATCGATCCATCGTCGAGGTTATCCGCCCACTTGACGTACTTGCGATCATCAAGTACGACAAGCCCCTCATCTATTGCCCGTTTGAGGTCAGGGCAGTCTCTCTTGAGGTGATCATCTCCCCTGCAATAGATACAGGAGTTCCTAGGGGTAGAGGGCCGTTCCTCCGCGGATTTGATCGCCGGTCGTCTCGTATCCTGGTTAGATGGCCCAGGAGATCTAGGGTAGTTTGGGGACTTGGGATACCCTGGCGACGCAGGATATCCTACTTTCTCATATTGCCTCCGTCGCTCTTCCATACGATCGCCATCTCTCCCTGTCCGCTCATAACTGTTTCGATACCCATCTCGGCGGTCCCTATCCAACTCCCATCGTTCGCGGGAGTCCTCTCTATCCCTCGAGTTAAAGTTGCTTGGGCTCCAGTACCCTTTCGCATTTCCACCGTATCTGGGACTGCGCGGGTACTGGTCTCGGGGACTGTGTGGATACTGGTCGACTCTGTCTCCTCGACCGTAAGAATCTCCCCCTCGGTACCCATCACGCTGGCGGTCTCTGTCTATATTATCATCCCGGCGCCTCCTCTCTTCGTCCTCTCTACGTCTTCGATTGTCTTCTTCTCTGCGCCTTCGATCCTCCTTATCCCTACGTCTACGATCATCCTCGTCTTTACGTCGGCGCTCATCCTCATCTCTTTCCCTAGCGCGATAGTCGGCCATTGTGTGGGGGTTACGGTCTTCAACACTTCTCCATGGGTCAGTATTGCGGCGATCCCATCGTAAGGAATAGGGTGACCCGGGTTTATCCCGGTACGTAGTTCCGACCTTCGTTTCAAAATTTGCCAATTGCCTTGCCATTGCCTTCATCTTCTCTTGCATCTCTTTTATGATAGCATCATTATCCTTTGAACGTTGGGGCTCATCTTTATCCATCATATAACGTCGCTCAGCCCAAGGTTTGAAATCTGGGCACTTGTCGGTCCCGTATTCCTGATAGAGGGAAAAGTCCCGGCGCTGCATGCCTCTCCAGAGTAAGTCCTTGTAGTCATCTGCCTCAGCCTTCATGGCCAACTTGAGTAACACAGTGAATTCTAGCTTATCGTGAGGCGTCTCTCTCAGCACTGCCTTTTGCTTCCCTTTCGATAGCTGCCCAATGAAAATGGTACATCTTTCGACCTCTGACAATTTTCCTTTTGCCATAAGGGCATCAGATACCTTCTGGAACTGCTTTACGAAGGCCCGGACACTTTCGCCCTCTCCTTGGGTTAACTGCTCCAAGTCCCGGATAGAATATTTAACATCTTCTAGTTTGTAGAGTTCGTACAGATTGACTTTATAAGTAACCCATCGCCTATCGTTGGGTCGAGCCTCTTTAATCTTTTGACTCAAGCTTGGGTCCACACTTTCGCCCTTCTGGAACTGCTTTTCGATATATTCGGTGATACCACACCCTTTAAAAACAGGTGGTCTGGTATCCAACTCTGAGGGCTGATGCGAGATTGCGGGCCTATCTCTCGTCTCGTATGACAGGGAGTGTGTTTCTTCTGTCTCTGGGTCAAATTCTCGTCTGGATATCGCAGCTTTCTCCCTATCTCTCCAAAGCTGCTCCCTAATGAACTGGTCCCTCCAGTCTTCCCTTTCTAGGTAGCCTCTATCCTCTCTACGCTCATACATAGACGGGCGTTGAATAAATGATTCGCGCTGAAAACTCGGAGGCTCGGTCTGTACGTCGAGTTGTGCATCATGGATTAAGCGATCTAGCGCGAAGAACGCCTGTTGATATACGGGAGTACCTGAGATCTTGTACTCAAGAAGAGTTGATGGGGATTGCAACAGGAATTTGTAGGAGAGTAAGGATAACAGAGTCCGGAGTTATAGAGATTAGGAGAGGTCTTCGTTGTATAGAAGAGCAGGAGGGAGAACTTTATTTTGACTCAGGGATTTTAGGTATCGAGGGTGAGCACGAGATACGAGACGAGGCAGGGAGGCTTGTTGCGATCCTGAAAGCGGTCATAGACGAGTGATTGTTTTTCTTACATGGGTCCGGGTTGCGGATACTTTCATAGGTACGGGCTGCGGATACTTTCATAGGTTCGGGCTGCGGATATTTTCATAGGTACGAGCTGCGGATTCTTTCATAGGTTCGGGCTGCGGATATTTTCATAGGTCCGAGCTGCGGATTCTTTCATAGGTTCAGACTGCTGATTCATTCATAAGTTCAGACAGTCGGTGCTGAACCACTAAATCGGGGGAGAGGAAGTATATGGAATCTGATACAATGTGGCCACATTCTGACGAGGAACAGGCGGTGTATCGAGCGTCACCGGATCGGGCCCTGCGAGACCTCAAGGAGCGTCTTTGACAGAATGCCCCTCTGAGGTGTGTAGAGAAGCCGGATGACGGCGAACCGGAGGTAATGGCACCTCCTGTCGTTACCGAGCCCAACAGGGCTGCGCCGGTAGAGCGCTAAGTCAACCACTGCCTCATTGTTTCTCCCTCGAACCACCTGATGCGGTACAGGAGGTCTGGGTAACCCTTGAAAGAGCGTAATCGGGGTGTCCCAATTCACCTCCTTACCTAGCGCCAGGAGCCTATCCCGCTCATTCTCAACGACTTCTTCCGCACGCTCCCAACATCGACCGTAAACCAAATTGCGTTCTTGCTCAACTGGAAGGTAAATCCTAACATCATACACCTCCACGACAAAGAACCGAACGGTGATAATGCAAAGACGTATCTGCTCCCATCCGCTGTCCACTTAACTTGTATGTCACTACTTCGTACGAAATCACTTCTCTTTGCCCCAAAGAACTCAACTGGTCGCAGACTTTTGCCAACTCCGTGTCTGAAGGTCTATTGCCCGCCAGAAACCTCTCTCTCCTAGCTTCTAACTCGCGCTCAGGGATGGTCGTATCCTTACTCATCCGCGCATCCTATTCATCCTTAACGCTCTTTATGAGCTTGCCGTCAGTCTTGACTGTCCGAGCGAATCCAACTACAGCCTCCCATCTGTTCTGCTCTAGCACTTGATATGGAACAGGCGGCCTTGGCAGACCGTCAAAAATAGTGATGTCGTCGCAGACCTCCACAATCTTTCCTAGACTTCCTAACCTCTTTTCCTCTTCTCTCAATGCCCACGCAGCTCTCCTCCAAGTGCTTCCGTATATACAAAACTCTTCTCTTTCTTTAGGCAGATATATACCAACGTGATACACCTCTAGGTCATGAAACCGGACGGTCATAATATAATATTGATTGCGTTCAATTCCACTGTTCTGCACTTGGTACTATAGAATACACCACCTTGTTGTACAAAAGAATCATCGCAATTCACTAAGTTAAAAGCTAGGTTACCGGTCGTCCGATGGCCGGACGTCTCCCCCAACCGTCCGGTAAGGGGGTTGTCCGGGATCTCGGACAACCACTTTTTGTCATTAAAAATAAAAAATAAAAAATGATAGTGTTGCGCATGCCATACAGACCCCCCATAAAAAAATTCAGAATTTTCTGAGCATTTGGTGATAGGGTGTTATTTGGGGTGGGAGGGGGGGTACGAGGGGTTTTGGTGGGGATAGGAGGGATATAAGTGGGGATTAGAAACTTTGAAGATTTGTATCTTTTTTTCTACTAGCCCAAATGAGCCAAAATTTTGGTGGCATACACCTTATGCAAGGTAGAAGCCACATGAGTTTTTTCAAAAAAAAAAAATGTCTTTTTTTTTTTTTTTTTTTTT